ATTTTGGTTGGTTCTTTTTCGCCTTTGATAACTTCGAGCTGCAACAATAAATGATTCAGATTTGTGACGAAGGGCCATAAATATTGGTTAGTTCGTTAGTTCGTCGGGAAGTTACCTGGATTGATTGTCCGATTAGATTTTTGAATAGGAAGGTCACAAAGAAGTTTAGATTGACGTTTAATTTAACGAAAGCTTTAGTTAACAATTGCGTCGTTTCGGGAAAATTTCATTGTCGATTATTACGAAATCACCAAAATTCCTATCATGAAAGATTTTTGTTAATAATAATGGATCATACTTAGAATTAAATCGAAAATAAAAAATTTGTTCCGCTGTTGGCGTGCCATTCGTTCTGAATTCAAGTCCATTGAATCAAGTTACTCCTAATATAGAGATAAATCGAGTAATACTTCAACTAGAAGGAAATGTGAGAATATTATATTTATAAATGGAGAAATACTGTAAGTGACACAAAATTTTAAATAATAAATAACGCAATTATTTTTAATGAGAAGATCCTCTGCAATTTCTTCCTTCATTGACGACCAACTAAATAGGTTCGTTATTAAAAATTACTTAATTCCTAAGGTGAAAATTTTAGTGCAATTAGTTGGGAAATTTATTTACACTCGTCTTCCAGCTGACTTCTGACGCCAACATACCTTGGTGACATAACAAGAAACTCATAGTTGTTTTTTGTTTTTTTTTTTTTAAAAAAAAAAACTCTACTAAGAAGTTGTGGATTATCTCTAACTTCATCATTTGGGTAAAGTGATTTAAAATGTATTATAAACAAATTAAATTATGGATATGTTTAAATGTAAAATATACCTTTTGAAAGTATGTTTAGTTTACTAGGTATGAGTCTGAATCAATGATGTTTCCATTCTCTAACATGCAATGAATTGGAAATGGCGGTAAAAATGATGCCGAGACTATTCTATTCCGAAAATTTCGATCTAGAGAATGCAGCTGCATATTCGTAAAATTTGATAATTGATAATTGCAATGTGTACTTTTGTCTTTCATATTAATGCATTGAGTCTATCGTTTGTATTTGTGAGGGAATGGGTATTTTATTTATAAATATTTTTATTTACAGCTGCACAAATTTAACTAAATATGATTTGAGAATATGTGTGGAATGAATATAACCAGTAGCATCAATTCCCTAAAATCCATAATTGCGATCTCTATTTGATTGAATAATTTTTTCTTTGTTCTTGTTTTAAAGGTGACGTCGTAAGTATATATATAATTTACAAAGGTTGCTCACAGAACCTCGATACCCATTTGCATCCAGCTTATAGAATAGTCTCATCTCCAATTCAATTGTTAAGTTCCATATGCTTATAGAAATCCATAAAACCCATTTCAAAGATTCACTGCTTTATTTTAACAATTTTCAATTACCGCTATACTATAAATTGTATTTTTAATTTAAAAATTCACGCATCTGATGATCTAATACCAGTCTTTTGTCAGATTACGTCAAATTAGTTGAATTACGTACAATTCACAGTAGAAGTTGGAACCGGCCAAAAATTCTTTAACCGGTTAATAACCGGAAATTGAATTTCGGCCGGAGTTAAATTCATTTTAACTAGGGATGTTAAGCGGTCCTAAGCAGTCCTAAAAGTCCCAAGAAAATTACAAAGAATTATACTTACAAATTTATTATGAAAATCCCTCTTGGAATCACAGAATTTCTTAAAATTTAAAATTTTAGGATTTAGAACCGGGTCCCAAGGACGGCCCTATACTTAGCGGTCCCATAAAAATTTGCCAATTTTGAATATCATTTTCGCTTTTTACAAATTAATTATAAAATTTTTATGACATTTTTTTGATGGGGTTACTTATTATAGATAAGTGATTAGTCTTCTCTAGGTTAGTAATCTCTTAAATCGTAAGGACCGCTTAAGGATCGCTTAACATCCCTAATCTTAACCGGTTAAAAAATCATAACCTCTAATTAACCGGTTAATTCACAGGTAATGCCGGCCATTTAGTGACATTTTCATAATAAATTTGTAGGTTATTTATGAAGTATGTCAAGTCCTGTAAGTTCGATACTGATATATCTAAAGCCACGAACCTAGATATTTACGAAGGTGGTTTCAGCGCTAAAACGTGTGGTATTCTTAACTAAGAATGTCGATCACTTCTACAGACTTTACATCCGATATCTAGCTAATAAAGCAACTGACAGTGGACCACTAGAATTTCATTACATGTTGTCTGAATTGAGCAGTAAGAAAATCCATTTTTCCAAAATTCATGTCACGTTTCCTATAATTACTAATTCTCGTTGCGGTCAAAGTGAAACTTTAAATTTGTGAACGACAGAAGATGGAGTGCAAAATATAACACACCGATGGTTACTCGCAAATTGAAATCAAATCAAAGTTTAAAGGTTTAGTTGTACATTATTTAATTATTTTTCATTATTTGGAGGTTTGCTATTAAAATCGAGTTACGAACATAGTAATCCGCAACGTGATTTTAATAGCTTACCTCCCATATAAGGATTTGATAGTGATGACTAATTACACGTATATAGCAATCATGTATGGTATGGATTTTTATGTATGGAATGTATGGTATGTATGACCAATTGATAAATGCAAAATTTTTAATTAATATTTATAAATTTTCTTAAACTTAACACCTGATTTTACTCATTATATAAACATCCCTAGCGTCGCCTAGAAAAAAATGGTAGCCGGATTTTATTTGCCGGGTCACATATACTTATTAGTGTGACATATAATTGTGACATTTAGCATTTTTCTCTCAATAATGTCTCTGTCCCCAGAATACTTAGTAAATTGAAGAACGGCTAACCCCTTAAACTAATCCTAATTCTACCCTAATCCTAATCCTAATCCAAACCCTAACTTTAATACTAACCCTAATAATAAATACCCGGCAAAAAAAATCCGGCTACCATTTTTTCTAGGCGACGCTAGGGATGTTATCTTTAACATTAAATAATAATTTAGTATAGATGAAAAAAAAGGTCGATAAATTTATAGGAGGTTTACATTTTCTACTATGTAGAAAAAGGAATACGCTTTCATTTTTTTCATATTCCGGATTATTACAGTTTGCTAAAGAAAAATAAATTCAAAATTATAATCACATACTTTTAAGGATAATAAACCAGGGAACGGGAACCGTTCTGGCCCGAAGCATAATTCTCAATAACAGGACATGTGGACATTGTATTTGAATTGATAAATTTAAAAGAATTTAATTAAAGTCATTAAAAATTATTATCGTTCTCACCCATATGATCAGGGTTGGGAAATTAGTACAGTTAGTACAGCTTAGTACAGTTTAGTACAGTTAGTACACATAATAATTAATATAAAATTTAGTACAGTACAGTACAAGTACAAGGTCAAAATTTGCCTAGTACATACAAATTTCCCAACCCTGCATATGATGTAAACGATCTTGTTTTTTAATATTTTTAATGATATCACGGAGTTTATATGAAAATTAGCTAAACTAATAAATAACTATTAATAATACTTGTATTAATACTTATATTATTTTATTAATTTATAATTATTACATTGTTTTTCTAAGGGTCTAATTAATAAATATCCCAAAAAAACTTTTTCTATCGAGTATTTAGGTAAGTTATTCTTTTTCACTTTTCGCAATATCAATTCAACTATGCGGAATACAGAATTAATTAAATTTTTATCAGCTATAATTTTTGAAATTAGTTTTTTAATTCTTGCGGTTATTTTTGAATATCATTTGGTATTTGTAATGGTTGACTAAAAGAATCTTTTTATTGTTGGAGTATAAATTGTTGTACTTTCTTCTATATTTTTCAAAAAAAAAAATTAAATAAAAAAAACATCGAAGATGCATTACCATTAAAAAGTTGCTTTATCTTGAAATAAAGTTTTTAGCATACTAAAATAAAAATTAGTAAAATTTACCTTTTTTCGTGATTCTCAAAAAGTGGTTCTTCAATTTTTTAAAAAAATTTGGTATAAATGACGAGAAAGAGAATGATAATGAACTTCTCTTCATAATTTTAAGTCAACATTATACTGTAAATCACACGATAATATCGGTTGATAAATTATTGTCCAATTCGTAATGACGATCGGCTAAATCTAACTGATCGTCTTTATGAGTTGGACAATAATAATCGAACTTATAAGAATTGGACATGAATACTTGTCAAAATATTTCATTCTTTCATACATTTTGTAATTAAACATCACAACTAATTCAAATTCCACTCCATTTTTAATAATTGTAATTATATATGATTATCGATTAAAATCGATTTCGAATTTTATTAGAATCGAATCGATTCGACAGTTCCGAGATCGACAAAATAAAAAAAACCAAATGGAAAATTTCGATATGTAAATCGTAAAATTAGATACAATTAAATTAAACTTAACAGGTTCAAAAATAAAATAAAAAAGACCAAATGAAGAATTTCGATATGAAAATGAGTTTGAGATTTTGGCTAAAAAAAAAAAATACTTATACAATTAAAACTTAAAAAGTTAACAAAATAAAAAAATTAAATGGAAAATTTCGATACGAAAATCGTAAAAACATTCTCTTAATTGTTGAATGAAAGAATTGGATACCGAAATGGTCTCCCTGGTGTCTTGTAATTTTTTCCGAGGTTATAAACAGTATATATAAGGTCTTCGAGATTTCGATATGGGAAAAAAATTATATCAAAATATTTTACTATGAAGAAAGGTTTATTATTTATCTAAGAAAAAAAAAATCACATATTGAAATTGATTAATTAATTTTTCATCAAATCCAATTACATCATTTATTTCCCATATTTTCTTAATTTAAACTCATGACTGTACTTATCTTCTTCTTCATACATTAAACTTTCATTTGAAAAATCATTATAATTATTAATCTTTAAAAAAATTATTTGATCTGCACAGTTTTTGAAATAGAGATTAGATATTCATTTTTAAATCCGGATCCGATTTTTAAAATTAAATAAATCCGAATATAAAAATAAACCCGGTTCCAGCCTCTATTATCATAAGGTAAATTTTTTAATTCTTCAACAAGCACCAGTGCTTCCAAATTTAAAACAATTCGATAAATAATGCATGCATTATTTTGGAAACTTTGATCTAATATAAAATAAAAAGCAAAAAAAATCGTTTATTCTACATTTTGATACAATAAATCTGTTAAACCGTCAAATTCGCAAAGTTGTTATCGAAACTGTCGAAACTTTCGAGACCCATCGAAACTCGTTGAAAACCATCGAAACCCGTCGAACCCATCAAAACAAATCGAAACTTTCGAAATAATTTCTGAAAAGTTTCGACTTTTGCCAAAATGGGTTTAGGGTTTTGCCTCGCAACTATAATCCATCTATCGCTGCAGTTGAAATTTTCAAAGCGAAAAATAAAACCAACCCAAAACTAAAAAAAAGATATTACTTAGTACTTTCAGAAGTGTTCTAACCCAAAAAACACGAACCTAAAGAAAATCCTAAAAAAAAAAAACAAAAAAAAAATTATTGTTCCGATTTGAAGAGGAATTAGAGGTGATCTGAAAGAGGAACTAAAGGAAAAACAAGGCTTTTATCATTTTTAACAATTTTCTTTTTTTTAATCTCGATCTAGCCAGTTATGATTGTAGTTTATTTCAAAAATTCAATAGAAAGTTACTTACAATATATATTTATCAAATAATCTAACAATTTTTTTTTACTTATTAAAAAAGAATTCTCTCATTGACAACCTATGTATGGAATCAAGTGACTCTAAAAAAGCGTTTATTATGATTACATTTTTCGCTAGTTAATGAAAAATTATCGTCATTCAAGTAATTTCTTCGTAGTTGCAATATGAAACTCAAACTTTAAAATTGAATTAAAAAACTTATTTTGCCTAAAAACCAATTTCAGCGCCAAATGGATTAGGATACATTATCAATTAATAAAGTCATAAGCCAATTAAAAATGAATTACTAAATGACCAAATGTACGAATACTGGGAGATTGGTGCTAATAGAAATGGGATTTATACGTTCTTTTGGTTAACAAAATAAATCACGTGATTCTTCACATAAATACTGTTAACGAGAACTACGTACCTTCCCTCTTAACAATGCTGTTGCTGGAAATTATAATTCTAATAGAATATGTTAGACGTAATTTTTTTTTTGAAAAAGTTTTGAAAGATAAAAATTTATTTAATAAATCAATCTAAATCTCGATTTAATTTTAGTTGCTGAATCATGACAGTAAAGTCAGTAACTTTTTATTTACTGCAATAGATCTTGATGTAGATATTTAATGTATTTTTATAAGTATTGTTTTTTCTTTTAATATTTTTTAGTCGAGTCGAGGAATTTTAATTTTTTTCATTATATACTAAAGGTTTGAGTAATATCAATTAATATTTGATATGGGTCACAATGACAAAGTTATGTCAAATGCATAGAGTATGTTTTAATATGTTAAGAAACTTATATTTCTTAAGAATACTAATATTTATTTATTTATTTATAACAATTCCTTAGATTAATTACAAAAATTTTAAAATTTTATATTGAATATGTATTTATTGTGTCCAACAGAATCTCCATACTAATTGAACAAAGATAAAAACTTTGCTTTTAATATCTTATATCAAAAATCCAAAAAATTAAGATTGAAAATAGTTATTTGCATTTTTACAAGAACGCAAATTAATATGTAAGAAATCATGACCGTGCCTTGTGAATTACCTACGACAAAACATCAACTTTAAAAAAATAACCGATAATTTTTACTTAAGGAAATTATTAAACATGGAAATCTTTACAGTAAAGAACAATTCAATTTTCAATTGATACTTGCTGCAAGATTTTTTTTGTATGGCCAAAAATCTTGTTGCAAAAGTAACTGCGTAACTCTATTGTATCATTGAAAAAAAAACATTGGAATATTCTTTTGATCACTTCGAGCAATAGCTTGAACAAATAAATGATATACAGGACAAAAAGGAACATCAGCAATTTATTTTTAGAAATGAATACATAAAATTTCTAGTTAGAATGATAATTGGGCAAATTCCGCGTCAAAAAAACATAGATGCTTATTTTCGGATTATTTATGGGTGATAGGGCTGCGCTTATTACCAAATTCTTCGAATTAATCGACAATAAAGTTTAAGTATCCACTCAAAATATACCCACAACGAAAATTTCCTTCTATTCTATCCAAACAATTTTTCAGCGTAAAATATTAGAACGTTTGTTCGTAACGCTTTTTTATTTTGGATAATATTCAAGTATTTTTTTTATTGATTAAATACCCGCTTTTCTA